ACAACAGGTCTTTCTTGTTTATAACTTCCTGGCTGATAAAATGTTGTGGACATATTCCAAGACTTTACAAAATCTACGTGGAAAAGTAATTAAAATAACTTAAAAAATCCTTGTAATGTAATTTTCTTTCTATCTAAGCCCCTTTTTTCAGAATTTAAAGGTGCACCTCATCCCCATTTGAAAAGTAACTTGAGTAATAAAATAGAGACAATTGAAAGCTTTATGATATAATATCAACCATGGTATTTTAATTGAACAATTATCAACAAAAACAACATCAAACACATCCAGTCATAAATTACAGTGCACAAGAGTAGTCCTTTTAAAAAAAATACTGAATACAGTAAATTCAGTGTTTCATTGTGCAGTTTTTATACTGTTTCACTTGCTTCGAAAACCAAGTTTACGTCCTGTTTGCTGCATTTTACTACAAAAAGAAACACATCAGTAAACTTCGACTTAGGCAAGATTTTAATGGTTTTACTACTCGTAGTTTTCTTCTGATATGTTGGATAAAGTTTTCAAGCAGAAGAAAAAAAAACTACAACAACCGCTAAGATGTTTTTTTCTTGTCCTCAGTCACCTACATTGTAAGGTGACACCACAAACCTGCAGGCGTGTAGAGGAGAGTTAGTTTTAAAAGCGACGGCAGCCTCCACTTGTTACAGTGTCCTTATACAACATGTGGAGAACCTGAGGGAAACATCTGGCTGTGAGAGATATGTGCACGTGTGTGAGAGGAGAAACACGGACGAGAAGATACCGTGAAGAAACTTTTATGAAACAGAAAATCTTTTGAAGAATCCTGCTGTTCCTGTTTGTAAGTAAACAGCTGCTATGGATTTTATTATTTGTAAGAGTTAGGAATGTGATGTTATAATTGTTACAATCTCCTTCATTAATGTGGGTTATTTCACTGTTTCTACCAAAGTGAAAGTTATGTTGTTTGAAAGCAGGTCAGTAACCATAACTTAACGTATTTGTTATAATGTAAAATGTTATTATCCTTTTTCTTTAAAACTGGGATAATAACTAATTATAACGAATTTTGCTTTGGGATTTAACTCTCATCATTGAGTTGTGTTTTTATGTAATTGTACAATTGTTTGTTTGTTCAATGTGTTGTGTTTTTCTCTAACTGTACAATTTAAAGGTCTCTAAATGTTTGTTTGTGTGTACAGTGAAAATGTATATATATATTTTTTCTAGAATAAGCTGTTTTTAAAACAGAAAGAAACTTTGCCATGCATGTAGTCAGAAAAATATTAATATTAATATTAATAATGTGTTTGAATCAGGGGGTTACCTAGAGGGGTGGTAAAAATTGCCTCTACCCCAGTGTTGCTGTAATTTAAATAAATTAAAATAAAATAACATATTCAAAAACAGAAATCAACACATAATGTAATAATCTTTTCTGGCCATATTTTAGACTAAGGCTTAAGTTAAATGAATGAATGTATTTGGAAAAAGATTTGGAAATCAAACTTTTTTTTAACTTTCTGATGCCATCTTTAGATATTTCTATTCAATGCTTTACTAATGTGCCTCAATAATCTCATGTTTTTGAGTTAAAATGTCTTAATTTGGGGCTTTTCCAAGCAAATATTGACAAATGTGATTGTTTGCGATTAAATCAGCATATATTTCTGTCTCCATGCCACCCTATATTTCTTTAGATCTGCCCCTGGTTTGAATGTGAGTGTTCATAGTGTCTGACACTTCAAGGCCTCACTTGCTAAAAGTTGAATCAGAACTTGTTCAGTGAACAGATCGTTGTTTATTTTATTTCCTTCACACTAAAACAATCAATGGAAGATTATTTTTTAAATCTTGGTGCCAAAATTGTATTTTATTGTGCTTCACTGGAGCACACTGAGTCTCCACTGTTCAGGGTGCGTAAACAGCAGCAGGCAGCGGACCTTTCCATCCTGTGTTGATATGAGGTTTATTTAGTCTAGGAGCAGCTAAGGGAAAGCCATGGGGTGAGAAGACCATTATAGCTGAAGCCTATACCTCAACTATGCAGTTGTATTCATTCAATACCTGATATCTATTCACTAGTTTTACATTACTGACACTGAGACCTCAGACAGC